AACGATTTTGAGGGTATCGTTTTACAAGATTTTGTATTCACTGTATTTTTTATATCTTTGTTTTTATATTGTTTTAAAAATTTTAATTTTTATAAAATTCTTGACCCTTGCAACGAGGGGTAGCCCTCATGACCAACTATTTTTACTTTTGTCACGTTAGGAGTTCAAGTAGTGTTAAATACAAATGTACGTTGTATACCATCTAGAGTGTATTGGTTTATAGTATTAATACACATCTCAAGTCACATTTCATTCTAGTTAAATCAAATAATTGGTGAAACGAAAATCACCAACAATTATTGGTTCTTCTTGGATCTGAGGATTCTCTTATAATATATGTATTATGGAGATTTCGTTCTTGACTGCCTTATGGACATCGACATCTAGAGATGAAATTCTAGAAGACGAACATTAAAGTGGACATACTAGCAGCGATTTGGGGTGTTTGGTATGTTTGAGGTGGCGATACCACTATCGACGCCTGTGAAACCAATGGTTATTGACCCATGGTTGTTGTATGTTGTGCTTCCCTATTTGTGATTCTTTTATTGACCCGTGGCCAACATTAAATTTCACATAATAGCACATGTTAAGTGGAATATTAATTTTTTGTTTTTTTTACATAGACGTCAAACCATCAAACTTCAATCCAATTTTATTCCATTTTATCTCAATTCCATTTTATTTTTGTCAATTCCATTTTAACTTTCTTCAAAAAAATGAATTCAAACATCTAGAAAATAGTAACGGATATCATTGCAGACGATTCATCTTCATCCTATTATGAACCTAACAACACTAATTTGGTAGATGCATTATCTTGTACTTCATAAGTTTTGTTTTAGAATAATATCAATTCAAGCACCATTCATACAAAAAACATAATCCACAAAGATCATCTGAGGAGAAATATCATGGAACTGTACGTGAGTGTTCATTTTATCTAAATGACGAATACTACAAACATTGATACTATCTTACAGATGTAATATATCCAACTGGAGTTGTATTTGTGAAGTCATATCCACATCTAATAACTGACAAAAAGAAACGGTTCAAAGTCGCAAAAGAATCAAGAAGAGAGGACGTAGAATATGTTTTTGGGGTCCTTAAAGCATGTTGGGACATATTAAAACCGTCGACACGATCCATGTCGTCAAATAGAATAAGAGATATAATGCACATTTGTGTTATATTATACAATATGATACTACAAAATGAAGTTGTTAGGATATCTCGTATGGATAAGCCTGATCCCGTAATGACAGACCCTTGACCCAGAAATACCACATGAATTGAGCAATGTTTAAACCCACAACTTGAATCGATCTTGTGATTTCATTGAGTATGCTTACATTCCATCTCTAGATAACTAGTTAATTTTAATTATCGTTTTAAGATTCTAATTATTTTGACTTTTTTTTAATTGTGTTTTTTATAGCTTTTTTAGTATTGTGTATTTTTTTTTATTTGCATTAGTTTTTTAATTAAAAACTACTATATTTTTATTTTATTTTAAGTTTTCTAATTTAATTAAATTAAAGTGATGTGGCAAAGGAGTTGAGAGGGTTGAAAAATATATCATTTTCATAGTGGCGAATTAAAAAAGAATAAGATTTTCAACGATTTACATTTGACAAGAAAAATCTATTGAGAATCCTTCACAAAGTCTGATTCAAAGGTTGCACAATTTTTTCGGTGTTGCACTATTAGAAAAAACTCGTTTCTGATAGTAGTTTCCTTCACAAAATCATCAATAAACCAACAAATTTACATTAAATTCACAATTATTAGACTTTGTGAAGGATTCTCAATAAATTCATGATGGATTTGTGACAGATTTTCAACGATTTACATTTGACAATAAAATTTGAAGGTTAGTTTGTGCTATCCCATGCAACATAGTTAATCTGCTCCAGATTTTCATGCATTATGAGTTTGATAAGATGGAAAAGAAATAAGAGATAACAATTGTTATGGAATTGATATCAAAGTGAGTTGAATGCGTTGTTAGAAATTCACTCCCTCCACGACTATTATAAATATATAGCAACAACATTCTTTTCTTAGACCGGAGGAAATGGTCGTATTTATGCTAAGATGCCACGTTTTGCCTGATACGTAAGCATAGAATGATGATAGAGAGTGGTCGTGTATCTTAACATGCATTCCAAGAAAAAAAATAGCCAATAATAAAAAAGTCACACAGTCTCTCTCTTCTCTCGTCTCTCTAAGTTGTATGCATATTCTTCTTGGTACACCCCCTTAGTGCATGCCGGGGGGTGTTCATCCATGCGAAGAGCTTTGGTGAGAGCTTTGAGCAGACACACTCCCCAAGCCTTAAAAAATTACTTCATTCGTAGTTAATTATTTTTTTAGGAGAAAGATTTTAATTAACTTAAATAAGTAAAATGATAAAAACACGTTCGTCAAAAAGAGCATGATATCCTCATCTTCCATTAAAAATGGTCCAATGTGTTGCTTCTTTTGGGACTACAAAATATGTCGTTCATCAAGCATTTTAAAAACAAGGACTTTGTGGAATTACATGGAGAAAGTGCTGCAAAATGACAAAGAAAGTCAAGATAAGCTAAAAAACTACAAGAAAAAGCATGATGATGAGCCCTTTACATGTGCATGCATATCTCCATACTTTTACTTTGTAAATAAAAGACCTCATCATATATAAGACCACCTAGCATCAACTGGATTTGCCATGATGATGTACACATCCTCAAAAAGGTTGAGGACATGGCAGATTCTTTTATGATTCATCCATCCATCACACACGAACATGTCAACACAACATTATATAAATATCCAAATCATATATATATATATATATATATATATATATATATATATATATATATATATATAAATAAATGTTAGTAGTTTAGTTCTATATTTGTGCTAAATAGTATAATAGTGTATTAGATGAAAGAAATAATAAGATATTTTTTTTAATCTTCTATACATTGTTATAAACTAGTATTTATGTCACCGGTTTGTTGTGACAGAGAACTCGTATGCAATTATTAGAAATAAAAACTATAAAAAGAAATTATGTAACTGACCACAAATGTAACTTTAATGTGCGAGGTAACTAATTTTCAATTCATCGTATACAGAATGTGATTTTGAAACATCATCACATATATATAGCGCGATACATATAGCACGGTGATAAATATACTTGAACCACAAAAGTATCAAATAAAATTTTGATCTAAACAATTAAGTATGAAGAAGACGGACAAAAATAAAGTTTGAAAGTATATATATTAGAAAATTTGATAAAAACGAAAATTATGTAAGGGACGAGATCATTACTTTAATGTTCATGCTAATGGTAACTATATTAAAATTTGTTTATACATGCAATTACAAATATCAACAATCTACATATATTACAGTTACAATTATATAATATTAAGTGGATCACAAACTATTAAAATAAAGTTTCGATCGCAAAATTATATACGATGGAGGCTCACGAAAATAAGACTTGAAAGAGAAAATTAATAAAAATAAGTCTATAAAAAATAATTATATGAGGGGACAAAAACATAACTTTAATATATAATAAGGCCCATTAACTTATAAAAATTCAATAGTTTAACTTACAAAAAATTTTAAATGAAAATTACATGAGTAAAAAGTATAAATATAAATAATTGCTTTATTTAGAGACAAAAAATTTGCTTTCCAAATAAACTTTATTTTACATCTTATATTATATGATCTATATCTATATTATATTATATGATGTCAAAATAGTATATTGATGGGAAAATGGTTTATTAAGGTAAGTAACTATTTTGTTTGTCCATGTATAGGTAATTTGTTTTGTACTCATTAATGAAACCAACTTGTTTTGTATGTTCACATTTAGGTAATATGACCGGTTATCACCTGTTTTTGCTTATGTGGCATCCACCTGACATATGACTTGAATACATTACACCTACGTGGCATGGTGCATATATTGTCGTCATTCGATCACAATATAAGAACTTTGTCATACGATTACATCCCTAATTCTAAACCCTAGATTGATCGACGATCGCTTCTTCTTCCTTATCTTATTCTTCAAAACGACAAGATGAATTTCAAGTTGATCATCCATGTGATTGCGGCTTACCATCTCATGTGAAGATTTTTAGAACTCCTAACAACCTTGGAAGAAAATTTAGAGTTTGTTAAAACTCGATGGTAAATCAATATTGTTGAATATGTTGCAACTTTCTTCTTCTCCATCCTTCAATTTAACATTTTTTTTATTTTTGTTCAAGAATAGAAAAAGTCCAAGCTATAAGTTCTAGCAATGAATGGATGAGGATGAAGGGAGGACAGATGGAAGAAGTTCTTATAGGAGGAACCACAAGAAAGCTGCAATCTAACCTTGAAAATTTGCACTTTGGAGAATGAAATCAGCATATGTAGGATGAATATCGAACAAGAAAACAACACCAATTTGGTTAATAGACAAGAATTGGACAAAGTGAAGTGGACTTTGTTTACTCACAAAGTGGCACTGATTTTGTTATTTGTATTGTATGTGAAAATGTTGATTTGTTGTATTAGGGTTGAATGATGTAGTTCATGAATGAAACTTGATTGGTGCTACATGTTTTTGCTTCTGATGTAATGAATGGAACTTTTGTATTAGAATGAAATATAATTAAATACGGGAATGGTATATAATTAAACATTGGAATGGTATATAATCAAACATTGGAATGTAATATAATCAAACATTGGATTGTAATATAAGAAAACACTGGATTCCCAGGAAACACTTTTTACAAAAGATGTGTCATAAGTTAGTTTTAACACATTTACACATGCAATACTGCCAAAAGGTACACATAAGATTCCAAAACTTACACATATGACTAGACAAAAATCCAAAAGCTAAACATATAACTAGACAAAAGATTCCCAGTCAATGAGGTCAAATTCTATTCCAATTCCATTGGATTTTCACCACTACTCCCCTATTTCCCCTCCCGCTTCATTCTTATCTGAATTTTCGTGATTCTTTCTGAAGGTTTCATTCTTCTCTTTCCCTGTAGAACTTGAAATGATGGTACTTCTTGCATAGGCTCCTCTTCCACTAGATCTTGAACTGCATCTTGTCCTTGGTCATCCTGTCCAACTGGATCTTGAAGTGCAACAAGTTCTTCACCTTCTTGACCTTCAACTGCAGCCTGGTCTTCATCTTCTTGAACTTCAACTTCAACCTGTGCTTCAACTTCAACATGTTCTTCAACCCCTCCAACTACACCTTCACCCTGTCCTTGAACTTCAGCTTCAACCTCAGGTTGGTCTACATCTCATATCTATGATTATGCTCTTGAAAATCAACTTCATAAGACTCCACCTCACTATCAGGCTCCATTTGAACTTCACTGTCACTATCACTTGCCACATGAACTTCTTGAGCCAATTCAACCTTCACTTTACCTGTTATGAAATATTTTAAATGTTAGCATTACAAACTATGATATTGTAATCAAAATGTAAAAGAGAACACATACCTTCTTCTTTGGCTTTATTTTTTTTTTTTACTTTGGTTTTTTATTTGACTTTGTCTTTGGATTAGATGATTCCCCAATTAGCTTTTTAGGAGATTTGGCTTTATTACGCCCTATTTCCCTACATATGCGACATCTCATGACCATACCCTTTTTTGAGACTATATGCTTCTTACCCTTTAGTTCCCTCTCAATTTGATCTCTTTTCCTATTTGTTGATGGTCTTCCTGGCATCCATCCTTTTTGGGAGTCAATGGCTTCATGTAATCAACATCATGCCACATATCACTGCCATTAAGTGGATTAATGGTGTACATATATGCATTACAAAACATTGTGGTGGTCAACCATGGTGATACATAGTCCTTTAGATCCCTATTGAGGTTTGAAATGGCAGCATATGCATGCACACAAGGGTAACCAGTTAATTGCCAAGCTCTACATGCACATGTCTTCTTACTAAGGTCTATAGCATATGCTGATCATATCCAAGCCTCACTTCAAATTCTTGATAACCAGAGGGTACAACTCTCCAAAATTTATCCACACACACACACATACACAAACACACACACACACACACATATATATATATATATATATATATATAAGTATAACCAATTGAATGAGACACACACACACACACACATATATATATATATATATGTAAGTATAAACAATTGATAACCAAATAATACAACCACTAACCTTTGAAGTTCCTTAATCGTAAACAATTTCAGCCTAATGGAAGGACATATGTTTAAGTCTCCCCAAGAACTTCCCTTACTTTTCTCTATACAAAGACTCTCCATAACATAAATTATAATTTCCTCTAACATAGTGATTAGAGGCCTCTTCCTGGCATTTTCATATGCATCGTATGCCCTATTAGTCTCAAAGAATGCTTTACACCAAGTTTTAGGGTCCCTTTCCATCAGATGATCATAGGCATGTGGTTCTAGCTTCTTGATTTCAATCCATGCCCATTTCGGATTTCAATGTCATCAAGGAGAAGGTCAACAAACCACTTCCATGTTTCTATACTCTCCACTGCAACCACAGCCCAAGCAAGAGGGTATATACGGTTGTTTACATCCCTACCTACAACAACAAGCAACTGACCTCTACAAATTCCTTTTAAGAAGTAGCCATCTAGTCCAATTACCCTCCTACAACCTTGAATCCATCAATCCTTCACACCCTTTAAACATACATAGAACTTTGAGAAGTAAGTGGTTCCATCATCCATCACATCCACATCCATCTTCACTGTTGATCCAGGGTTAGTACTTCTTAGCTCCTCTCCGTAGCTCCAAGTTTTAGCATAGTGTTCCTTTAAAGTACCCTCTATCTCCTTAAATGCATACATCCTCGCATTTCTGCACTATCTCACACTTGCAATCAAATTAAATGTCTTACTAACTTTATCCTTTAATTTCCTCACACTCATCTTTGGTTTCTAGAGTATATGATTCATGAAATGATTCCCTATCCATTTATAGCTAACAATAGACCTAAAATTGAAGACTCTTGAGTAATTATGGTTATCAATTAAATATTTAATCTGGAATGACCTTTCATTGGTCATCCAGATTGCCCACAACCTAAAGGGACAACCATTATTCTTCTTATTATGATCACTTTTTTCATACCATAAATCATACCCATTCTTCACTGCATAATTGGTTACACATAGCTTCAATTGCGTTGGGTTAGCAAACTTCATACCTATAATTGGCACCATCTTATCCCATTCTTGTTTCTCATCATGGACAGGGAATACATCCTTATCATCTTCCCCATCATTAGGTTCATCATCATCATTGAGGTTACCAATACCTGAAAGTTTGTTTAAAAAACCGTCACCGGCATTTTGTTAAAGGTATGGACTACTTTATCAACTTCAAGTTCATATGCCATAATATCATCCAATTTATCATCTTCATCATTGTCATCCTCTTCTTCCTTATCATTCTCTTCTTCCTTGTCATCCAAATCATATCATTACCATCTGATAACACCTCATTGTCAGCCCAATAAAGGATTGGTTCTTTTTGGTGGTCGATGTGGACATCCAACTCAGCTTCAGGAGTATAAGTAGCTTCAACAAACTCCCAATAATCAGCATCACTGTTGATTCGTATAATACCCTTAGCCAAGGTTTCCTTTCTACTGTAGTAATACACAACATTACAACTTCCTTTGGTTAAATTCCTAAGCCACAAAAGAAACTCTTTATATGTAAATCCTCCAAAATCAACATCACACACTATTATTATTTTGGGGTCTAAGTATTTCAACGGATTTGGGGGAAAATACTCCATAGCAATGAACATTGACGATTACATACTTACCTGTAGATGATTGGAAAGCCATCTTACAGTCGACTTCAACATGTAGCTTCAACTCCAAACTCTACTCTTCAATTTGATGAATAGATACTAATCAGGAGGTGATTTCGGACAAATTGAACTAGTTGAACCCTAAATAAATGAGAAAGGGGTGTAATTTCCACGTATTTCAATTTAACTGAGGTTAATCGATGCTACCGGGTAAAGCATGTGAAAACAGGTGATAGTCGGTCATATTACCTAAATGTGAACATACAAAACAAGTTGGTTACATTAATGAGTACAACAAAAAGAACATTACCTATATATGGATAAACGAAATAGTTGTTTACCTTAATAAGTAATTTTCCCTATGTTGATTTGTATTTAACACCTTGTGTTTTGGAATTAGCATAGAAAAATTAACACGACATACTCACAAACTCTTTTTGCAAATTAGTATATATATATATATATATGTGTGTGTGTGTGTGTTTAGGTTTATTTGAAACTATACTAATTTTATGAGACCGTAAGACGCAATCTAAAAATAATTTTAAATGCAAAATAAAAGGAAAAATCTGAAAATTCTTTTTTTTTTTAATTTTATTTTCATCACTTATTTTAATTAAAAAAAAATAAAAATAAAAATACCGTTTTTTTTTTTTTTTTTGAAAAATACGTGAAATATTCTAATAGAATATTATACTGTAAATATTCTAATATGATTTTTAGAATGTTAGAATATTCTACTAGATTTATCAGATATTTAAAATATTCTCATATTCTACTAGAATATTATAATATTCTACTAGAATATGTAAAAAAATAGTATTTTTTTATTTTTTATTTTTTTGTATTTAATTTTTTTTTTTGGAAAATACAAATGACAAAAATAATATTTGAAAAACAATTTGAAAATTTTCAATTATTTTGAATTTTAAAAATGTTTTTTTATCTAAAAAATGAATGGATATGATTACGTCTCACGGTTTTACAAAATTAGGTTATTTCACATGAAGCTAACCATAATATATATATATATATATATATATATATATATATATATATATATATATATATATATATATATATATATATATATATATATATATATAGGGCTAGGTTTATATGTTCCTAACATCTATGGTGTGCATGTGTGCATAAATCTGCTAGAATCTCTCGTTCCACATGTTATTTTCCTTTTCTACATTAGTGATAGTCTCTTCAAAACCTAAATCTACAAAGAAAACAAAATCAAATTTAAAATATTAAAACTTTCAATATATTTTAAAAGAATTAAACTATAAATTCTAGAGTAAATTACTGAAATTGTCTCTATGGTTTTGTCAAAATTACACGTTTGGTCCCCAACTTTTTTTGGACTCGGATCGTCCCTATGGTTTGATTTTGTTGCGTTTTTCGTCCCTATAGTTTGGTCAAAATTGCACAATTGGTACCTAACTTTATCTATGCAATAGACGAAAAACGCAACAAAATCAAACCACAAAGATGATCCAAGTGCAAAAAAAAAAAAAAAAAAAAAAAAAAAAAAAAAAAAAAAAAAGTTAGGGACTAAACATATATTTTTGACCAAACCATAAGGACGATTTCAGTAATTTACACTAAATTCTAATAGAATATGTTAGATATTAAAGACTTTTAATTTATTCGAACATAATGTAATACCCAACTCACTTAATTAAGTATTCCTTAAGTCACTTGATCCAAATAATCAACTTAATCTAATTACAATGATTCTAAAGCCTACATTGTAACTAACACAGAGGAAAATACTTTGGAAAAAGGTCAGCTTATTACAGGATACTAATCTTGAAAGTGGAAAATATGAAAATTCAAAGATCACAAAATATGACATCCCCATTTTCACGGCCAAAAAGACCGATTTTGTTTATGCTTTATAAGAATCAGAGTACCTCTTTTAATAAAAATGTTGTGGAATTTGTTCCCAGTAAAACATGATAAATACGTTATCAAAGCATTTCCGAAGAAAAATATTTTTATTCATTTTAAAACATTTGGGATGTCATCGTCAATACAGAAACATAAGCATAAACAGAACTTACATTCGTTATCACTAGTGATTTATATCTCCTAAATCTCTCAGTGTAATGTGACTTCATATCAGCACATGTGATACAAATAAACTGAGTGGGTCAGGTTGGGTGGTGAGTACATAGGGTTTTCAATCCACAATAAATAAGTTAATTAACTTTATCAAACCAAACAAACACGATTACATGTTCCCGTTATCCTCACTTTACGTCCCTAAAACATCTAACACAAGGGACATAGTCTAAAGGACTTTCATCAGGGTGACAACACATGCTTCGGGGGTTCCTCAACAATTCATGTCAAATAAGGCAACCATGTGAGGGATGGAGTACTGCTGGTGAGTACACAATTCAAATAAACACCTACAGGTTGCGAACCTGCTAGCGTTCTACTGGACTGTCTAGAATAATCTGTGGTCGTCATCTATACTCTGCTAGATGACTGGATCATCAATAACATCTATATCAAAGCCTCTCATTATTTTATTTGGTCACACAGCAACTATTACATCTACCTATGTTTTACCCAACATGTTTTGTAGATATAAAATACATATATAGTTTAAATCATTTAAAACATGTATAAAAATATTTCACCCAGCATAGACAGTAAGTATTCAGAAAATATGCTCACATAGCATGTAATTTCTATTAAATACTTCATATTTATGTGTAAGATGAAAGGGACAATGCACTCACTTGATAAGGTGGTGACTCGGTACTCGGACAGTGCTTCGTTTACTTTAAAATAATTTCCTTCGACGAAACCTAGTATTATTACCACTAGAGTTTAGTATATTATTCTCCGAGACTAACTAATAGTCTAGCTATTATTACTATTATATAAGCGTTAAAAAATACTTATATAACCCATAATAATAGCCCAAGTACTTATTATAAGCTCCTAATAACGATACGATAATTAAATAAAAGCTATATTAAAAATAGCGTAGGCGTAGCTCACTTATAGCGGATTTTATAGAAAACCGGGCTTTGCTTGGAACAGCGTTCCCGAGCCGAAAAGCTCTTCTTCTCGGAGCTGTCGAGCACTCTGGGGCTTCCGCCTCGTGCTAGGGAGGTTCACTAGGCTTTTCGAGGGGGGGGTGGGTCGGGGCTATAGAGAGAGAGAGAGAGTAAAGAGAAGAAAGAATAGAAATGTGTGAAGAAAATGAGGGTGGGAGATGTTCTATTTATAGGGTGAAAAATGACTGAACTTGGTGCCACATGTCACCATCTAGTGGCAAGACTTTGGGAGAAAGCAATGGCCAAAATTGTGCCACATCACCCATTTTCGCACAACACACTTCCGACTTCTAAAATCCGTAACTTTCACATACAACCTCCTTTTTTGACGTTCTTTATATCCACGCGTAGGTAAAAATAATATCTACAACTTTCATTTTTACTCCATCGGCTAATTCTCGAGCAATCTTAAATTTAACAGTATGGAGAGATTATATTGTTAAATGTCCACGTAAAATTCATAACTTCTACATACGGACTCTGTTTTCGTCTGTCTTTTTACCGTTTAGTTCCTATTAATGAGATCTTCACTTCTCATTTAGGTCGCGTAGGCCAAAAATCGCTCGATCTAAAATTCGAGTTTTGGGTTGTGCATTACTAAGCCAAATCTTAGAAATTTCATAACTTCCTCATACGAAGTCAGATTTGGGCTTTCTTTTTTTTGTATGTTCTCAATTTAATGTATACTAAAACTTTTGTTTATATTTCTAAGGCTAACAAGTCTTTCATCGTAAATTCACTATTAACGTCTCCCGGTGTAGTGCCGGTTTTTGCCGTAAAACTTCGACGAGCCATAACTTCTTCGTTATAACTCGGATTTCGGCGTTCTTTATATGTACGAAACCCTTGTAACATATACTACAACTTGGTTAAGATTAATCACTCTAAATAATATTCCATCAAAAACTCATTTTTGATGCTCATCGTCTCTAAATTGAGTAGTCCGGATTTGCAGGCGTTACAATTATCTTCCCCTTAGGATAATTACGTCCCGGAATCATCAACGAAACAGGGTTGTATAATGACTTCGTACGTTATCTCTTTATCCTAGGTAATAATCGTAACTTCTATGTTCCTTCGAATGAGTATCTAATTCTTGGACTTCTCGACTACAAGTGGTGCTCGATCTTGCACTTGCTCCCTATCTCATGTTAGACTCCAAATTATGACCGTCAAGTCACAATATCAATCCTCAGTGAATACAAACTTATGATAAGTTCTTTTATTACTATAATGGAACGATGTGTCATATTCTAATGACCTATCATCGTATGTTGAAATGCTTAGACTCAGGTCTCTTAGGGTCTTCTAGAACAGACTATACTTTCCTTCATGTTCTAATCTTATCTTAAAGGTAGCATTTCTAGCTACAAGCAACTATCGCGATACCTCTACCGATCGCTTTGATTATCTTTTATTTCAATCTTCCGACTTAAGTCAGATGCTACATCAAATTTGGTTCTCTGAATCACGTAACATATTCATCGTAGTCGGACTCAATTCGATATGACCACTAGGGTTGGAATAACAATCATCCTTTTAGTCATGACCGAAACGATGGTAACAACATATTTGAATAAAACGGTATCAATTACTAGCTTCTTAGTAACATTGTGACTTTCCCTGATCCAAGCGTGAGTCTTGTGCTTCAGGTAGTATATGCCTCTACTACCTTTCACACATACTCATACTCGTCCCAAGTATTGTCTCGCAGTTTACCCAAGTCACCATACAAGAAAATCACATAACAACTTGACACATTAGATAACAAAACGAAGGTATTATATTATTCCTTGAAATGATTACATAGGTATTCAAGTTCAACCTATATTATGCCTCTAACAGGCTACACCACGTGGTACTATTTACATGACTACTTCATAGATCCTCATTCCTGATCCATTTCAT